AAATAAAAAAAAAAAAAAAAAAAAAAAAAGGCAATTCAAAAAAAAAAAAATAACGTAAAATCACGATCCGAGATTTAAGCTATTTTTGTAACTGTAAGATATAAAAGAAGGAAGACGAACCCTGAAATCAACAGATTTCTGGAGATTTTGAATCACACAGTTCTTCTTCGACTCAGCGGCGGCGACGCCGATAATCGCAACAATCAGGAATCTCTGGTAAGGGGTAAAGAGCTCCCATGCGGGGGCTTCCTCTCGGCTCATCCTGCCTCCGATGGATCTCGCAGAGATGGCTTCACCGAGTAAACCCTGGAGAGATAGGTAAGGTAGCGGGAGAGACGATTGCAGTCGATGTGTACGACGGGTGACGTGGCTTGATAGGAGGAGACGAGTAGAGGGAGGAGGAGTGAGAGAGGAGAAGTGTGCGAGATGGACCGAAGCGGGTGGGATTGGGTAGGATCCGAGATCCGAATCGGGTTCATCCATGAGATCGAGGTTAGTTACAGAGACGTTTCGTCGAGACTTTTCTGTGATTTTCAAAATTGGGAATTTTCCCTCCTTAGGGATTTTAGGGAAGGCGAAGAGACTGAAGCGGTTAACGTTGGGCTTAGTGGATCATCACAGTTGGGCTGATAGTCGTTTACCGATGGGCTTGTTCATGCATATGATTCATGGGACTCGTAATAACTTTTTTTTGTACAATGACCATAGGTGGATATTTTGCATAAGAATGTGTAATGACTTATGAGAATTAGTCTATATTACCGTCGCTAAATTTTCAGCGATTAGCTTCGTTTAAAAATGAAGTTTTGATGAAGATTTTACATAGAGAAAAGTAGAAAAAAAATTGATCTAAGGTTAACATTCTCTCTTTGATTTGTCACTTAGATCAGCAACTCGTATAGTTTTTGGGCTGGTTTTCTTATGCATGTAGTAGATATGAAATGTAATACAAGTGGGATGTATTCTTTGCAGTATACTCGAAAAAGAGATCTTTGGGTTGTTAACATTGACGTGTAGATAATGTTCTTTCCTTGAAGCAACAAAACTAAACCGTCATCATAATATTCAGAGATTACCTTAAACTTCTGAGAACCATTGGCTTTCCCAACAAAGATAGACAACCTGATCCAATCACTGACGATGTCCAAAATATTTTATCTTCTAAAAGTTGTCAAATGACGAGTACATATAACTAACCAATCCATCACTCTCCATGACTACACAACAACTCCTTTCAGTGTATATCTGTTGGAGCGTTTATTCATATTCAATAGTACTATTCTTTAAATCTACTTACATGGTACATGATAATGCACGTTTTTTTTTCCAATATATGCATTAACACAAACTACATGTCTTGTTTGTTGATACAAAGTTTAAAGTTGATATTAGTGAATTATGCTTATGATTTTCGAATTTTTGTGTGCACGTTTTTTAATTTAAAAAATGGGTTTCTTTGACACAGATTTGTAATTATTTACATCCCATCCCATGCTCTCTCCTATTTGCCTCTCTCTGTCCCTGCCTTGATAGAAAACCGGACACGTTACGCGTTGTAATCATCGAAGCATCCTTCACACACCAGACTATTAGACTGTGTAGCCATGTATTCGTAAGAAGTAAAATAATCATTAGCTACTTGTATATAATATACAGTGACATGTACAAATCTTTAAAATCTTTTTGAATTTTTTTTTTATCTACAAATCTTTTTTATTTTTAAACGACTAAAACTCTAAGTCTCACAACAAATAACTTATAGCAAAAACAAAAACTACTTATATAGATTAGATATGAGTCACATGTCATCCTATTCCAGTTACATAGATATGTATATAAATCCACCTATCAAACTAATTAGTATATTAGCTTCATTTTGTCAACCTAGTATAGTTTTATACAAAATTAAAATAGTTTTTAACTAAGTTTGAACAATACATCTCTACAAAAATATTAAAAAGTTTAAGAAAAAAGAGCATAAACTTTCAAGTCGACATTTATTAATTAAATTTTATATTTATAAATCATCTAGAGTTTGGAAATGGTTTTCCTTTTGTTTAGTGGTCCATTATTCTTCATAATCTCGAGAAAAACCACCAGAAACATCCCACTGATCTCTCATCGAAACAAAAACAGTTCTTCCCCTTTTTACAGAGTCAAATACAAAAAACCAGGCACCAAGAAACCGACAAACCATCCGTGACCTCCTCCTCCTCCTCCATTCTCTTTATTCTTTCTTTTTCCCTCGGAATTTTTATCCACATTTCCCTATTTCTTTCTCCTTCACGTGATCATATTACATCTTTTGTTCTGTTTTGTTTTGTGGCAGACATTGCTTAAATCTTCAAAACTCCTTCTACTTTCTTACTCTTTATAAGCATCCACTCTCATCACTCTCTTCTTCCAACACTCTCTAACTTCTTAATGTGTCTTTGAGTCTTTTCTTTCATTTCTTGGTTTTTGAGTTTAGTCTTTCTTTAAGACAACAGAAATGAAGTCTGGTCTCATCATAACCATTGCTTTATTACTATACACAATCTCTGTTCTTTGTTTAGCAAAAGAATGTACAAACACTCCTTCACAACTCTCATCACACACATTCCGCAACGAGCTTCTCCAATCAAAGAACGAGTCACTAAAGACAGAGATGTTCTCTCATTACCATCTAACACCAACTGATGACACAGCTTGGTCTAGTTTATTACCAAGAAAGATGTTGAGAGAAGAGGAAGATGAATATGGTTGGACTATGATGTATAGAAAAATCAAGAACTCAGATAACTTTCTCAAGGAAGTTTCTTTGCACGACGTTAGGCTGGACCCAAACACCTTCCACTGGAGAGCTCAGCAGACAAACCTTGAGTATCTTTTGATGTTGGATGTTGATAGTTTGGCCTGGAGCTTCCGGAGAGCAGCTGGTCTTGATGCTCCTGGAAGTTACTATGGAGGTTGGGAGAGACCAGATAGTGAACTCCGTGGCCACTTTGTCGGTATATAGCTGCCTCTTTCTTAGTACAAGTTTTTCATAGTTTTATAGATTTGATTTATGATTGTTTGTCTTTGAAGGTCACTATCTGAGTGCAACAGCTTACATGTGGGCAAGTACTCATAACAATACTCTCAAGGAGAAGATGTCGTCTCTTGTCTCAGCTTTATCTACTTGCCAACAGAAACTTGGCACTGGTTATCTCTCTGCTTTTCCTTCCAGTTTTTTTGACCGGTTTGAAGCTATAACTCCTGTTTGGGCTCCTTACTACACCATTCACAAGGTGAAATATATACTCATAACCTCTGATATAGATTGTATATTAGTATGCTATAAGGTTACAACTCTATGTTTTAACTTTGACAGATATTAGCTGGTCTAGTGGATCAATACAAGTTAGCTGGGAACACTCAAGCTTTGAAAATGGCTACATGGATGGCTGATTACTTCTATGACCGTGTTCGTAATGTGATAAAGACTTACAGTGTTGAAAGACATTGGTTATCACTAAACGAGGAGATTGGTGGCATGAATGATGTTCTGTACCAGATATACAGCATCACTGTAAGTTAAAAAAATTGATCAGACTCTTAGATTTGTATGTAACTTTAAATCATATCATAGTTTTCAATGGACTCTGCAGGGAGATTCAAAGTATCTGCTTCTGGCTCATCTCTTTGACAAGCCTTGCTTTCTTGGAGTTCTTGCAATCCAGGTAGTTTGTTTACTTGATGGTTAGCTTGTATAGGTATGTGAATGGTAAAAATAACATAACAGAGTTTTTGTTTACTTTCTATTCAGGCTGATGATATAAGTGGATTCCACTCTAACACACATATTCCTATTGTGGTTGGATCTCAACTCCGGTATGAGATCACTGGTGATCCACTCCATAAGGTATTGAAGAATAGATCAAGAAAAGTGTGAGACTTAATGAAGTAAACATTGGTTATATTTGATTCTGTAATTTGTATTTTCAGGAAATCTCAATGTTTTTTATGGATATAGTCAATGCTTCTCATAGCTATGCAACTGGAGGAACATCAGTGAATGAGTTCTGGTAATAACATTACCTAACTTTAGAGTTTGGTTCATTTTAACATGACTTTAACATGATCTTGAAATGTTGATTCCAGGCAAGATCCAAAGAGAATGGCAACTACGTTGCAAACTGAAAACGAGGAGTCATGTACTACATATAACATGCTCAAGGTATGGTTTTTAAAATACTTAGCTCAAGGAGATATAACATATCAAAACACTTATACAAATTGCAGGTGTCTAGGAATCTGTTTAGGTGGACAAAAGAAGTTAGTTATGCAGACTATTATGAGCGTGCTTTGACTAACGGTGTGCTTGGGATTCAAAGAGGAACTGAGCCTGGACTAATGATCTACATGCTCCCATTGGGTAAAGGTGTTTCTAAGGCTGTGACTTATCATGGCTGGGGAACACCTTATGATTCCTTCTGGTGTTGCTATGGCACTGGTAAAGGATTTGGTTTGTTACATTGTTGTACTTAGATAAACAGATCAAATTTTGAGGGTCTTTTGTGTTCACAGGTATTGAATCCTTCTCTAAGCTGGGTGATTCTATATATTTTCAAGAAGATGGAGAATCTCCATCTCTTTATGTCACACAATATATATCAAGCTCACTTGATTGGAAGTCTTCTGGTCTTACACTTTCTCAGAAGGTTAAACCTGTTGTGTCATGGGATCCATACATGCATGTGACATTTGCTTTCTCTTCTTCCAAAGGGGTAAGGTTTTGGTTCAGAAACTCAGATGCAACTCTTTCATGTGAATAGAGAGACTAATGGATCTGATCTTCTTGCAGGGAATGGGGAAGGAGTCTACACTGAATCTAAGAATACCTGTTTGGACTAACTCTGAAAGTGCTAAAGTATCTTTGAATGGACAATCTCTAAAAGTACCAGCTTCAGGTGATTTGAGAAGTTTGTATTGTTAATCTCTTTATCTAGCACCAAAAGGTTACTAAGAAGATTCTTACATGCTAAAATCTGAAACTGCTTGACTCCACTGTTTCTAAAATAGTCTCTAGAAGGTGAAAATAAGAGATCATATTGGAACTCACTTTTGCTTTTGTAGGTAGCTTTCTATCAATCAAACAGAACTGGAAATCCGGAGATCAAGTGACCATGGAGCTACCGTTGAGTATCAAAACCGAAGCTATAAAAGGTATAGCCATTGTTCTGAATCTTCTGATTACACAGTTAACTGTCCTTAATCATAGCAGGATACTATTGTATAAGTTAATACTGTGTAGAGTTGGTTAAGTCAAACGACTCAAACCGGTTAACCGGATGTATTGTATCAGTTAGTATCAGTTGTATACAACTCTGTTCTTAAAACAGAAACTGATTTCACCATTTTTTTTTCTTTCTGGTGAATGTTTCAGATGATAGGCCTGAGTACTCATCACTTCAAGCCATACTATATGGTCCCTACTTGTTAGCTGGACTCACAAGCAAAGACTGGGGCATTACAACTCAAGCTAAAGATAAGAAATGGATAAGCTCTATACCTGAAAGTCATAATAGCCACCTTGTAACGCTCTCACAACAATCTGGTAACATATCATACGTGTTGTCAAATAACAACCAAACCATCACGATGGAAGTCTCTCCCGAGCCAGGGACACAAGCCGCTGTTGCCGCAACTTTCAGGCTCGTGACTGCTAATTCTAAAGGGAAGATTTCAGGTCCAGAGGAGCTAATTGGAAGCCTGGTTATGATAGAACCGTTTGATTTCCCTGAAATGCTTGTGACGCAAGCAACTGATAGCTCCCTTGCGGCTCAAGATTCTTCTTCTACTGACCAAGAAGCCTCGAGCTTTCGGTTAGTAGCTGGAGTTGATGGGAAACCAGGAAGCGTTTCTTTAAGGCTAGAGAGTAAGAATAGTTGCTTTGTGTATAGTGATGAAACCTTAAAGGCGGGAATGAAACTGAGGTTGAAATGTGATTCAGATGTGACTGATGAGAAGTTTAAACAGGGAGCAAGCTTTAGGTTAAGGAAGGGAATGAGTGAATACAATCCTATGAGTTTTGTGATGAGTGGAACACAGAGGAATTTTGTGTTATCACCACTGTTCAGCTTAAGAGATGAAACATACAATGTGTACTTCAATGTACAAACTTGAAGAAGAAAAACACTTTTGGAGAAAATTAAGAAAAAGTCTTATGAAGTAGCTACAAGGGTTGTGTTTACTGTTTAGCTGTTTAGCTTACTAGGTGGTTTGTGTTATGCAATTTAATCTACAAATGTATGTTGCAAGTTATTAATAAAAATAGACAAAAGGGTTTTATCTTTGTTTTACTGTTTATGAATGTGAAACATTCTAAAAACAGAGCAGTGTAGGCTCTGCAGAAAGCATAGTTCCAGTGCAATAAAACAAGCTGTATGACAAGAAAACAAACAAGTTATATGAACATTGATTCCATTCAATCAACATTAAAAGAAATAAATTAAAAAGTGGAAGAAAAACAAAATAGGAAAGGCGTGAAAATGGAAGTGCAAATAGAAAATTAAGAAAAGAGAAGTTGAATAAAATAAAAGAAGAGGTCAAAAGGAGTAGGTCCACAAAAAGCAGCAAGATCTTAGCACTCACATGTCCCCATATATTCTATTTTCTACTGTACACTCTCTTCTTCATTCACCAGCTCACTCTCACTCTGCTTCTCCATCTCAGTTTCAATATCAAGAAGGTATTTATTTCCAAGTTAATTCATTTTTTCTTTATTAGATCCCCTGAGGTACATTAACCTTACCATATCTTGATATTTTTAAGTTGGTTTTTATTTGTAGATTTTATATTATGTGTAGTTGTAGTGTAGTTTTGATTAGTTGCTCAAGTAACAGCGACATTGAAGACTAAAAGACATGAACACAAAAAAAAACATTTCTTGTGGGGTTAGCTTTCCCTCAAATAATCATTTCTTTTTGGGTTACATAATGAATCTTCATGTTCACTTTTTTTTTTACTTTCTACCTTTGCTTGAATCTGATTAGGAGAAAGCTAATAAGGGTCGTTTGAAGAAAAGCTAATTACAATTTTTTTTTGGGAATATTTATTTGTAGGGTAATGTGAGTCAACATTTATTGGTCTTTGGTAGCTGTTTATTTGGTGAGAAAACTTCAACAAGAGTCCAGTCCATATAATTAACATTTTCTGTTTCTACCTTCTTTAAATTTTCCATGAACAACTTATATTAATCTCAGAAGAGTGTAGATCTCAAACTCCTTATTCATTAACCTTACTTTTGATTCCAGAGACGTTTTATGTTTTACTATGTTGTTGCCATATTGGTAAACTGTTAAAATCTCTCTGATTCATTTGTTTTGTGTTATGTTTTGTTTAACCAGAAGGTTGTCTTAAGATAACAGAACCAAGAAGCTTACCTCTAAAACTGCTTCTCATCACAAGTGGAACTGCAGAAGTTTCAAGATCCAGACAAGATGCAGAAACCTGGGCAAAATATAGACTTTGCACTGAAGGAGACTTCACCAAAGATTGGTGCAGGAGCCATGACAGGTGATAAACTCTCCTCCACTTACGACTTGGTTGAGCAGATGCATTACCTCTACGTTAGGGTCATGAAGGCAAAAGACTTACCAGGAAAAGACGTGACCGGAAGCTGCGATCCTTACGTGGAAGTGAAGCTAGGGAACTACAGAGGGATGACAAAGCATTTCGAGAAGAAGTCAAACCCAGAGTGGAGGCAAGTGTTTGCTTTTTCAAAAGAGAGGATCCAAGCATCAATCTTGGAGGTCATAGTGAAAGACAAAGACGCTACGTTGAATGATTTCATCGGTGGAATCATGTTCGATCTCAACGAGATTCCTAAACGAGTTCCACCTGATAGTCCGTTAGCTCCTCAGTGGTATCGGTTAGAGGATCGTCATGGGCGTAAGGTTAAAGGAGAGCTTATGTTAGCTGTTTGGATGGGGACACAAGCTGATGAAGCTTTCTCTGATGCTTGGCACTCGGATGCAGCCACGGTTGGACCGGAAGGTGTGACGAATATCCGGTCCAAAGTTTATCTTTCACCAAAGCTTTGGTATGTGAGAGTTAATGTAATCGAGGCTCAGGACTTGATACCTCATGATAAAACCAAGTTCCCTGAGGTTTACGTGAAGGTAATGCTAGGGAGCCAGACTCTGAGAACTCGGGTTTCTCAGACCAAAACATTGAATCCTATGTGGAATGAAGATCTCATGTTCGTTGTTGCTGAGCCTTTTGAGGAACCGTTGATTCTCGCTGTTGAGAATAGAGTTAGTGATGAAACGTTAGGACGGTGTGCGATCCCGTTGCAGAGTGTTCAGAGGAGGTTAGACCACAGGCCGCTTAACTCGAGGTGGTTCAACCTGGAGAAACATATCATGGTGGACGGAGAGAAGAAAGAGATCAAGTTCGCTAGCAGGATACATCTAAGAATCTTTCTTGAAGGAGGATACCATGTTCTTGATGAATCAACTCACTACAGCAGCGACTTAAGACCAACGGCGAAACAGCTCTGGAAACCGAGTATTGGATTGCTTGAAGTAGGGATCATCAGCGCTCACGGACTGATGCCGATGAAGACAAAAGACGGTAAAGGAACAACAGATGCGTATTGTGTAGCTAAGTACGGACAGAAATGGATCAGAACAAGAACTATTGTTGATAGTCTCACGCCTAGATGGAACGAGCAGTACACATGGGAAGTGTTTGATACCTGCACAGTGATAACTTTTGGAGCATTTGATAACGGACACATACCAGGAGGAAGTGGGAAAGATACGAGAATCGGGAAAGTGAGAATCCGTCTCTCGACACTTGAATCTGACCGTATCTACACACATTCATATCCACTCCTCGTCTTTCATCCTTCAGGGATCAAGAAAACTGGTGAAATACAGTTAGCAGTGCGGTTCACTTGCTTATCTGTAATCAACATGCTTCATATGTATTCTCAGCCGTTACTACCCAAAATGCATTACATTCACCCGTTATCAGTTCTTCAGCTGGACAGCTTGAGACACCAGGCGATGAACATTGTCTCGGCAAGGCTGAACAGAGCAGAGCCGCCGCTTCGCAAAGAGGTTGTGGAGTACATGCTAGATGTGGACTCACATATGTGGAGCATGAGGAGGAGTAAAGCTAACTTCTTCAGAATCATGAATGTTCTGAGTGGTCTCGTAGCTGTGACGAAATGGTTTGATCAGATCTGCAACTGGAGAAACCCAATAACCACAATCCTCATTCATGTCCTCTTCATAATCTTGGTTCTCTACCCGGAACTTATCCTCCCAACGGTTTTCTTGTACCTTTTCTTGATCGGGATATGGAACTTCCGATGGAGACCGAGGCACCCTCCACATATGGACACACGGTTGTCTCACGCAGACGCTGTCCACCCTGACGAGCTTGATGAAGAGTTCGACACTTTCCCGACTTCCAGATCCTCTGAGATCGTACGGATGAGGTATGACCGGCTCAGGAGTATCGGAGGACGTGTTCAGACAGTGGTGGGAGATCTAGCTACACAGGGAGAGCGGTTTTTATCGCTGCTGAGCTGGCGAGACCCCAGGGCAACCACATTGTTTCTGTTCTTCTGTCTCATAGCTGCTGTTGTGTTATATGTTACACCGTTTCAGGTTGTGGCACTACTTACAGGGATCTATATGCTGAGGCATCCAAGGTTCAGACACAAGCTCCCCTCTGTGCCGCTCAATCTCTTCAGGAGGCTACCTGCACGATCTGACAGTCTATTATAGACATCATGTTAACTACATATGCTTTCATAAAATGTTTGTTACATTTTCAGAAACTTGAGGTGTAATGCTTTGATTAAGACTTTTTTTTATTGAAAATTTAGTTGTTAACTGCAAGTCCAAATACATATATCCAAAAATCCTCAAAATCTTTGGTTATGTATTGCTTTTCAGTATCTGTAAAATTCTGATTTCGCCTAACTTTTTGTCCAATGAGTAACAGTTTTTGCGCAGGGGTTCCATTAACTTCACAGACGCATTTGATCGAACCCTAGAGGTGATGAACCGCCAACTCTAATGTTGTGGAGCAGCTGCTGCAGCCATTGCCTTGCAGATGGATCATCCTGTCAAAAGAAGCAAGAAGATTAGTTAAAACAGCCAATACCCCAATTTTACCAAATGAACTGAGACAAGATGACAACTAAACTGATAGATAATAAATTGGTATTGGTTAATATGCTATCAAAGAGACATGAAACTTACATAGAGACAGCTACTGAAGGAGGGATCCCTTAGAAGATCTGGGAGGCCGTTTCTGAGTGCTTCGCAGGCCCTGAATTTAATCAACAACTGTGTCGTTTAGCAGGACTGTGTATATATTTTGTTTTAAATGAAGGAAAGAAGGGATAAATATTGGACTTGTTGTGATCTGTCAAGCGGAGATAACAGCGTATGATGTGCTTTAACAGCCTAGGAGAAGATCCTGCTGCAAGTGAATTAACCATATTCCCCAATACTCGACCCAGAGCATAGAACCTATCCGCTCTGATGCACATGTACTCAAGCCCAAGTTCGTCCAGCAAAACTTTCTGAACAATGAAGGTAGCAACCTGATAAAGGGCACAAACCAAATCAATAATTGCAGTAGCTTATTTGTATGAAGCAATGATTTTAGTAACTGAAACGAAACTTGATACACATGTTTCAAGCATGTGAATCTAAAGATAAGCATTTGAGAGTATACAAACTCACAGTCTTTGATAACTCGCTGCCATTTTCCATTGTCCGGAGGCACAATGGGACAATTTCAGTCTTAAGAAGGAACTTGATTACTTCTGGATCATCAACCTACCAAACCAAATTAACAATGTTGCACCACCAGTATAAAAAAACCTACAATGATTAGGTGATGTCTTAACAGTATTCACTCAAAGGTCTTCGCATGTTAAAATGGTTGTTTCTCAAACTGACAATATATTTACCAGGACAATGTGGTTTATGTAATTAAACACTGGCAAGCAAGGACATGGAGCGTTCCTGCCTTATGCGCATGAACACAGTTTTTTTAAACTAGCCATACCTTGACAAGTGCGCCAATAACTCCCAAGCTAGTCAGTCGCAGGTATTCAAAGGGTTTTGACCTGCTTGATGTATTCAGGAAAGCGTACAGGTACAATGGCATCTGAGCTGTATTTTGAAACGCAATGGCCTTAAGATTTAGGCATATTTTAACCACACAATTCCAATAAATGTGTTCAGGTAAAAAGAGACCAACAAGGTGGCTATTAACCACATTAGGTAGTCAGGTTGCACCATCAGCTAATGTAATCTAAACATCTACTTCAGTTACAGAGCAAACACCGGAAACTTATTTAGTTATTTTAATAAAAACCGTGGATTGGCGACTTAAAACACTAAGCTTTAAACAAAACAATAAATCTATATATAGACATATACATCAAGCAGGAAAACTGTAATTGTTTGGGGCATAGGATTGTACCGTTAAGGAACAACATTCTCGTTTCAGGATGAGAAGCAACACACTGGATATCAAAAAAGAGAGGGTCGAATCAATTAGAGAAACTAGAGTCTTCCAAACTGAATATATCATTCTCCCAAAAACAAAGAGAAAAACAAACAAGACGTATAATGCACCTGAAGAAGCGCAAGTGCATTGCAGACCCTGTTTGATTGATCAGAAGTCATAGTTGGAGGAGACAGAAGACGGTAAACTGAAGTGATCTCCTGAAACAGAGAAACAGTTGAAAATGAATACATAGAAAACAAAGAATCATGACCCCTTG